AAAAAATGGAATTTTGGTCTGTAGCACCTACACCAAACACCCTGTATATTTAAAAATTATATCAAAATATAGCTCTCATGAACTCCTAAAACTTTTGTATGAAACATTTTTGTGTATCTCCTTCAACAAACCAGATATTGCCTGTCACATAAAATCTGGGACACCCGGTATATATATACTTTTATGGTTTCATATGGGTTTGCATTGCCAAAATTTTCATTTCTGCATAAAAAAACTGGATAAACGCACGAAATAATGTGCGACAAAAAAGTGGAGGACGTGGTGCATGAAGTGGAGATGGAGGTAGCTGATACAATATTAAATTTGGGATAAATTCCCGTTTGTTGCAAGGATCTTTTATTTTCGTCTTGCGATGTTTGTATGTTAGTTGCAACTTATTCAATTAACACCTCAATGTAAACTGAACAGTTTACAAAACTTGTTTCGCTATATTATAGCTTCCTCAGGCGTACTCATTCCATTACATATATTGAGATACATTGTGACGCCAAAAGATTCTATCGTGGTTTCGTGGAAGTGGAAATCTCACATTAAAGTGCGTTTTTTGAATACGTTAATCTAGGAGAAATCCTCAAATAGCAGTTACAACGAGGAAATGAAACGCAACAGTCAACGGCGATAAAATAGGAAACCCGGTTCTACTCACCTCTAATCTGCGGTTCGGCGATCTCCCCCAGGTACATCGGCACCGTCGAAAAGGAGAGCCCGCTGGATATCCCGGCGACGAATCTGGCCACGTAGAGCGTCGCGACGTTCCTAGCCAGCCCTATCATGATCCACCCCGTCAAGAGGGGCACGGAGGTGAACAGGATGACCTTCCTCCTCCCCAAGACCCCGGTAAGGGTACCCGCGATGACGGCGCCCAAGATGGTTCCTGGAAGCAGGGTGACGGCCAACCAAGAAGCGTCGTTGCTGCTTATCTGAAATTTGTAGGTGCCCTTCGTGAGGGCCGGAATGGAGGGGGAGCTCCAACCGAAGTGCATTTCTGACGAAAGGATGCACAAAGTGGCTGAAAAAAATTGGAACTGGTGTAAAGTGTCTACCATAATTGAATCAACGACTACCTTGACCGTATTCAAAAACACGAAAAAATATATATTCAACAGCCTACTTTTTCATTTCTTTTCTTTTATTTTCAATATCCATATTTCTTTTAATGAGTTCGATTTATTTATAATATTCATTTGTTAATAAATCTATTTTACTTATCCGTGCTGGTTTCGCCCATAACAACAATGGTAATCTTCAGTGGTGGTTGATAGAATTTCGTTGCGACCTCTCCTTGTTGGTAGACTCATTAATGAGCTCCAAAAACTGTTTAGAATTATTTTCTTCGACGTAAATATAAGTCTAACTCGTGAAATCAATCAACACCAAATATAAAGAATATAAAGAATTAACTACGGATTTCTTCTGGATGTAGAATGACATATTTAAATTTGTGATAGATCTGTAACTTCATCAGAAAGCAGATATTTTTTTTCTATAAATATTGAGGTGATTGTTTTAATAAAGACTGTCATGAAGACATTTAAGAATTGTTAAATATGACAAGTTACTGATAAATAGAAGATTTTTCTTTTGAAAAATACTTTGATTTTTACGCAGTAAAAGTAACTTATCGGGGTAAACTAAAAAGTTTGCCCTTCTCCACTTGTAAAAAGTTCTACATTATAATTTTTATATTTTTTCAGATTGTGGAAGGTAACAATTACCCAAAAAAGGTCGATGAAAAAACTGATTTTTTCTTCCACAAAAAATGACTTTCGTTGAATACATTTAAGAACTTCTGCAGGTTCTACCTAAATATCTGATCTGGGGGTTTTAGCTTATAATCCCCCTTGTTCACGCCTTGTTTATTTCCAGGGATGAATAACAAAAAAAAAACACTAAATACTATCAATGTCAATATCAGTTATAGTTGATTCTGTAGTTTCGTCAGTATTTGTAACAATTTCAGAAGCAAACAGGATCAGTCAAAGGATATATTGAGATAATAATAGTAAAACATTGTGTTTCTGAATATTTTACATCAATTGCTTTTTTAAATTCAACTAAATCAGTAATTCTTCAATGTACTCGTTGAATCTGGTCAAAACATGTAAATCATCAGATACTCACTTGACATGTTTATCTTCAACTTGAACGCAATTATCCATTTCAAACGTTCCCAAAGTTTACAACCGTAATAATTCCAAAAGAAGATTGACGCTTGTGAAAAGTGAATCTGATTTCAAAATGTGAATTACCTGTGACAGCTGCCAAATACTGATATATCCTGTTCCCGAACAGACGGCTCAAAAGGTTCCTCTTCATGTTTTTTTCGGAGACGGATGCACCTCACTAACGAATGCTGGAATATGGGAGAATTTTCTATGATGCATAGGTATATGCGTTTAATCAGTCATTTCGCCCGAACAAAGAATGCTGATTGTTCCGATGACCATCGAAATCGTGCTCGCAGGTACAGCTTATCGCAACATTTCGATTAAAGTAAAGCAGTGATTGTGCTTGCCAATGAGTCGGATGTGCGGGAATATTGGAGAGTTTTTCTGGCTTTTTTCTAGGTGTTTATATACCGGTCGGACGAGAAGTTAGAGAAAGATCTTTTGTTCTACCAACTGTAACTCTTTTTTCTCTATATTTCATTTCTTTTATTGTGTGTTATTAATCTATCAATGGCTTGTAATACTGGGAGAAAATAATAGATATGAGCATGTACATACAGTGTTTTCCAAGAATAACTTGGAATAAAGTCGTTTGACAAAAATATTTCAGAAAAATCTTGGAACACGTAAATTTCCACTTTTTAATTTTCATTATCTCCCAAACTTTTAAGAACTGTCATCCATAAATTTTTGATTTCGGATAACAAAGTTTGGCAGGGTTTTACTCAAAAAATGGCAAAATCAAAGTTTTTCGAAACGTTGAGGTTATTGAAAGGTGAAAATGATTTGAAAAAGTCATAGATACATGACTAAGCAAAAACAAATTTTGATGAAAATTCAATTTATTTTTCTATAATTCATTGAAAGTAACGGCTTGTTGCTTTGCTGTGATTTGTTGAATAGGTAAGTATTTCAACAATGAGTCGGGTCGATGTGTGTCAAATGCACAACCAAACTCGATACAGATGCTTCAATAAAATTTCTCTCCCTCAACGTATCTGACAGCAGCTTTTTGTTTCTGACCTCGGAGTTCGGCTTGGATGTCTTCCAGAGTCTTCCCCTTGGTTTCGGGAACGTAAAAAACGATGAAAACCAGCCCGAGTAGGCAGCAGCAGCTGAATGTAAAGAACGGCACATGCATTCCGTAAGTATCATTTGACCAGTGGAAGAATTTCGATATAAGGATCACGATGACGCTGTAGAAAATGTCCATGAAGCAGAGAGCGATAGCCTTAACACTAGTCGGGTAGATCTCTCCCATCACCAGGAGAGGAATCGTTTGTAGACCGACGCTGAAGACGATGACGAAGCAGAGGAGGGCGATCAGCGGGACGAAATCGAAGCTGCTGGTGTCGACCTCGGTGCAGTTCTTCAGGTAGAGGAAGACGCCGTTGAGAAGCAGCGTCAAAGCCGTGCCCGTAGTCGAGACGATCAGCAGCGGCCTTCTGCCGGAGATGTCGACCACGAAAGATGTCAGCGCCGAGAGGAAAAGCTGCACCGAGAAGTATATTATCGTGGCTAGGCTGGAGGAGATGAAACCTTCGGCCTCTTTGAATATCGTTTTGCAGTAGAATATTATAGCTGTGGTGCCGCTGAGCTGTTGGATTCCTCTGAGACCTGTGAAGAAGTCAAAAATTATAATTTCTCCAGTTTTCCAGTTTAAGGTTGCTGAGTTGATATTCTGTATATTCACTACATTCCAAGTTGAAAATATCTAACAGTTCATTAGATCAATAATCAATGTATACACTCGTACATTCTGTCAATGAAATACCGTGAATCAATTATTCAAAAAGCCCGCATGAAGGGGTTTTCGAAATCACTCTTGTGCTAGGTTGGCACAACTATCCTGAGCTTCTATGGGCTTTGTTATCCCCTTTGTTATCTCCTTTGTTAGTTATCCCCATTTTATAAATGGATACAAAAAGGAGGAATTCTCATTCTATATTTGCAAAATATCTTCAGTCTTCCATATAGAATTATTATTATTACTCAATATTATGTATGAGTATTTAGTGTGTTTATCAGTCTCATAGATACTTTGATTAATGTTGTAAAATAGGGGAATTAGTATTTCAGTAATTAGTAAATAAGTATTCACATGCCTGGGACGCCATCTATCAATGAGAGGAAAATGTTATGTGTCAACCAACTATTTGAAGAAATCTCTAGTGATAGCCATTTGTTTACAGAACACTATTGGATCTGAATATTTCACATTCTTGGGTTCCAAACACTACTTCATAGTTAACAAGCTATTCCCAAGACTTCCTTTGCGCAGGCTATGGGTTCCCCAGATTTTTCAACATAAAAAATGTATCATGTATTATTTTGAAAATTTGTTACATGAACCGTTTTCACTTAAATTATCAATTCTTTCATTGAAATCTGATTTGTCCAATATCACAATCAATCTTTTCCTTTTTTTTCTTTCTTTTGTGAATTACCATCTAACTTGTCTTTTCGACAAGTTAGGTTCTGAATTGAACTTTCAACTCCGACCATAAAGTTCTACAATATTCTACCCGTCGACCTTAAAATTATTACAAGTGTGAGAAAATTTTAAAACCACTTGAAAACAAGTTCAAACAAAAAATCCAACATTCTTTGGTTTTGTATGATATCTTACCTTTGTTATACATTTTTGCTTTATTGGGTTCTTCATTTCACCCACGTACTAAAAACAATAAGGACAAAACTTTGGTGTCGGATAGATCAGGAGTATATAAGCTGACTTGTGGCTCTTGTCCAAAACTGTATATTGGCCAAACAGGAAGAACATTTTTCCAACGAATTAGAGAACATAGGAGTAGTTTTGTAAATAGAAAGACCAATTCCACATTTGCAAACCATCTTTTAGCAGGACATGAGTTCAATTATGAGTACGAGGTGTTACATTTAGAAGAGAAGAGTTTGAAACTTAATCTTCTAGAATGTTTAGAAATCAATAGATTCAGGAATTCGGGTAATTTACTGAATGATCAATTAGAACTCAATAACTCTCCGTTACTGAATATATTTTTTCAAATGTGAAAATGGAACATAAGTGCAGGTAATTTAATTCGTTAGAAACTCAGGTAAAATATCAGCTACTTAAAATTCAGGTACTTCGTTTACAGGTACTTTGATTTCAGGTACTCCATAAACTATATATATATTTAGTATTGAATGTGTAGAATTAGTTGAAAGACACGCCAGATGAAGCCATTGTATGGCGAAACACGTGTTGCGTTTTTGTAAAACAATTTAGTGAAAATCTCACAATAAAGTGTTTTTGGAATACGTTAAATTTGCTTCTGTTTCGAATATGAAATTTGGTTGCATATAATGTTCTATTACAATATTCCTCTGTTAGGATAGAAAAGCACAGTACTGGAATTTATGTGCCTAGGTGTAACCCATATATCCAATACCATATCATGGTGTTTTTGTACCGATTTTATAAAATGAACGAATGAATGAATTGAACTAAATTACATGTATTGTGTATGTATCCAAACTGCGGGCAAGAGAAATTAAAAAATGTTTGTGATTCGGGAACTTTTCCTATAATTTCGAAAAACTGAATCTCACCTAAGGTAATAAACAATCCTTTACGGTTGCTCTTTACTGTGACCAAATCGAAAACGGACCCCCGATTGTCCGCCTGTTCCTGGATAGCTCCCGAAATCCTCGTCAGCTCCTTTGTGACCTCCTCTACACCCCGGAAAGTTTGAAGACTCTTCCTCGCCTCGACAGTCCTCCCGTGCATCAAAAGATAGTACGGACTCTCCGGCATCCAGCTGAAAGTGACCAGAAGCAGTATCGGGAAGATTGTGCCGATGTAGGCGACGGTGTCCAGAGCTAGATAGGCCCCGAAGATGTTTATGACGTCATGATTCGGTCTGATCTAATAGTGCTTTAATCAGGTACTTTTTTACCTGAAGAATATTTATTAATGATGAAACCTTTGCGTCTTGATCAATGTTGTTATTAGTAAATTATACTTAGTTTGTGCATTAAAATGGCTACTCCGGCAAAACAAATGAGCAAATGTGCTTTTTCAGTTAATAAAAAAACTATTATTCTTATGACGCTCTTATACACTAAAATCCTTCGTACCTATACCGTTGATAATCTGGTGAAAATGCAAGGGACGGGAATTTCAAAATCATTGATATACAAATTCAAGAATGAGAGAAAAAATTAGGCTGTGGAGTCACCAAAATCATCTTTATGAAGAAAAACTGTGCTTGCTGATGTAAACTGCAAACTTTCAATTAGAATAACAGTATAGTACTTTTATTTTAAGTAAGAAATACCGACCCGCGACAAAATAATGGGAGCCTTGAAAGAAGACAAAGTATGTCTCCAATGGTAGGCAGAAAGAAATTATGTGGAAAACTTTGAAAGAATCAAATTTCAGTTCGGTAAAACAAAACAGAAAATAGATTTCAACAGAAATTATTTGCCGGAGGAAACATTTATTAAAAGAGTGTCAACATAATAATGGAACGATTTTTTATTCGGATGATATTTAGCTTAACGAAGGATATATCATTGTGAAAATGTGGCAAGACAGTTACAAGTTCATGTCAAGCATTTTCAGTAGGCTGGTCTACCAGAAAACGACTGATTATTACCCACATTGAAAGTGTTGATGGTTTTGTTGAGGGTGGTTTATTAATGTTTGCATCAATCAATGCATGAAGACAAGAACGACAATGTGTTTGAAGAATATTCTGGCAAATGTTATACCTCATTTCACCTAACTCTGTAATTTTGATGAATATTGTAAATTATCTTTCTGGAAAGGAATACCAACTATTTATTGTAAGAAGAAAAGCTTATATCATTGAGTGGCTTCCAAAACAAACATACCATTTGATAAAAGAATGATCCATGCATTTATAATGAGCATTAATTACTTTTCACCATTAGGAAATAGAGTATGAGTAACTTAAACGGAAAAAATGCCGAACCTGCTGTAAACGACAAGCCATCCGCAGCTCCTGCCAACACCCTCCCTACAAACATCAACGTGGAGGAATCCGCGAAGCCGATCAGCAACCACGACGTCACGAAGGGTAGCGAAGAAAAGATGATCAGTCTCTTCCTGCCGAATCTATCGACGATCAAGGCAGTGACGAAGGCTCCGAAGATGGCGCCCACCAACGGGGCCACGACTAGCCACGACCCTTCTTCGCTGCTTATCTGGAAATGGTATTGTCCGCTTTGCAGGGTGGGAACGAAGGGTGAAGGCCAGCCGTAGTGCATCTCGCTGCATATTATGCCCAAGTTTGCTGAAAATAGAAAGAAAATTCAAAATCTTGTGGCGGTTTATTTGATTATTGAAATTAACAATATGGAAGTTAGTGTCAAAAATGGAGTCTATTTTCGAAAACTTATGAGCAAGTACAAGCTAACATACTTTAACAAAAATACGACGTTCACTTGCCAAAGTTACTTGTGCAAATATTCGAAAAATTACGGCAAATGGGTTAAGTTCGGTTTGAAGGGATTTAGTCTGTTCGGCCCTACAGTACAACCATCATTCAAAAAACTCGCTTGAAAGGATTGTCGAAATTATTTTTGTAGCCAGGTTGGCACAACTCTCTATACTCAACGCGGAGTTTGAGTGTCATCCGTTATTTAGATGTGGTGAAAGATTTTCTTTCACTCTTCTGAGCCATCAACATCCGTAACATTCTCACATTAGCTATGATGTTATACTCTGGGGATAACTCAACTGGGGCATTCAAACTTTTTAAATTGCAGAAAAAACTCTCAGAATAATAACTAATTCTAGTTATGGAGACCTTGGTTTTGGAAATTGAGAATAATGCCGTTACCTTCATTATTTTTGTATAACGTTATCATAGAAATTCATAAAAAATCAACTTCAATAATTCAGCAATCAGACCTGCATGAGTATGATACCAAACATGGTAACAAAATTCGAACAAACCGCTATCGTTTGAGTAAATCACAAAAGAACACTCTGAATTTCAACCTCTACAACTATCTTCCAGATAATTTTAAAATTCTTAGTATGTCCAAATTCAAAAACAATAAAAAATTATCTTTTGAGCTTTTGCTTCAATTCTGTCAAAGAGCACGTGAATCATTTCAAATGTTTATGATGTCAACATACTCAATTTTGTTTTATATTTTTGTATTTGTGATTCTTGTTTGTTTTTATACTATTTCAATTGTTCAACTGACCATTACTTTTATGCTATTTTTTGACTTGATACAAACATTTTATTACGTAACGTAGTGAAATAAATTATCTACCAATCTAAGAGAACTTAAAATCGCAAGAAACGCCTTGCTGCTCGTCTAGTGCCAAAAAACCTGAAATTTCTGCAGAAACTTGATCGTGTAAAGATCGGCGAAGAAGGTGAAGCAGTAAATAATGAATATTACCTGTGCGTTATGCGACATTTGAGACAGCAAATTCGTCGAAAGAGACCAGTTATGCTAAAAGAAAACTCATGGATTTCGCACCATCTGGTAAGGCTATCATTATGAACGAATATCTAGCGAAAAACTCAATAAATCTTATCAAACAACCAGCATATTCACCTGCCGATTTTTTTCTTTTTCCAAAACTCAAATTACCACTTCGAGACGCCGTTTTCAGTAACCAACATACTAATTATTGCAATCTTCACAGTCTATTTCATGAATCCCACACTTTTCTTTTCTGTGGTCTTATTTTTTGAGTTGCCCAACACTTGAAAGCCATTTTTTAGTTCAATTTTTCGAAAATTCATACTTATACAATATAAGTTTAAACTGACGAAACTGCAGTAACGTTGACTACAAATAAAAGTGGTAAAAAACATAGAAATTTTCATTTCTCTTTTCATTATGGTTTCCTACCACGTAGTAACGGCTACATCCATCAATTTATTACTAAAATAACAAAACAACTTCAATCAAATGGGTGTTTCATTATTATAACATGAGAACCTTATAACATATTTCAGAGATTTGAGGGTTTCTTCTAAACGATTGAAACGGTTCAATAACGAAGCAGAAGTCAACCAAATGGTATTGTAATTGTTTGGTATTTATTGGTTGATTAAATATAAAAATTTATCTAAAAAGCTAGATCTCACCAGTTATAGCGGCGATGTATTGGTAGATTCGACTTCCAGAAGATTTTTTCGTGTTAACACTTGCCAGTACACCCATTACGAGAGCAAATCACTAATTTATCAAAACTTTGTTGAGATCGCAGACATATGGACTACTGTCCGATCTATTAACGAAGCGCTAACTGATTACATTCATTAACCATTTAAATTGTGTGTTAACATGGAGTCGAAGTGATCAATTTGCTCAATTGTTCGGGAAGATGCCAAATGAGGAATATTTTTCAGCTGAGCCAGAAAATCAAAGAGTATTACTTCCACAACTATTAGAAATAGAGTATATAATCGTTAGTACGTTAGCCAAATTCATTTTTATATTATTGGACAGGCAATGTTATACAAAATGACAGCTGAAATTATTATTTTTAAAACTGCTTGTTCGCGTGTTCTTATCACTCAAAACAAGAAATTTAAAATCAGATCTATATTTTATTATTAAGTATTACATTGGTCGAACAATGATTATGGTCGTCGTGGACTGAAACGGCCGATAATTCAAGTGTGATGAATGATACAATGATACATGGCAGAACAGAAGTGGCCACAAAATAAAACAGAAGACCGTACTTGAAACCATAGTTGAAAATGGCCCTCATTGAATTTTCATGACGCCGAATTGAAGTGTATACCTAGAAAAATCATCTTCCGTTTTTTATCTTTTGTGAAAAATAAGACCTTTGGATCAAGAAAGTAAAAACTCTACGAATATATCTTGAAAAAGCTTGACGCTTTTACGATTTCAGTACATCGTTTGATTGACTTTTGAAATATATAATGGAATCGGCCGATACTTGATGAAAATCCATAACTAACGTATTCCAAAAACACTTTATTGTGAGATTTTCACTAAATTGTTTTACAAAAACGCAACACGTGTTTCGCCATACAATGGCTTCATCATTCCATCCACCCGTCAATAAAATTCACCACTGAGAGGGAGGTAAATAATTCAATAAATTACCTGGACTTAACCATTACGAAAAATAACAATAAACATGAGTTTGCAATTTTCCACAAACCATCGTACACGGACATTATCATACATAATTCCTCCACACACCCGTACCAGCATAAAGTTGCTGCATTCAATAGTATGCTTCACAGATTATTGAATATTCCACTGTCTGATAGGGTCAGAAAGAGCTGAATTTGATCAAACAAATCGCGATTAATAACGGTTATAAGGTAGATATTGTAAGCTCCATTCTTTCCAAAAAACGACAAAAGCAAGCCATGGATCTGGTCTACCCATATTCAAGATGCGATAACGTTAGTTATAAGACATTGACATATGTGGGGGAACCAAACAGGAATATTGCCCGTTTTTTGAAGAAAGAAGGCGTAAACGTAGCTTATAGAACGAATAATAACCTAAGTAAATTTATTAAAAACAATAAGGACAAAACTTTGGTGTCGGATAGATCAGGAGTATATAAGCTGACTTGTGGCTCTTGTCCAAAACTGTATATTGGCCAAACAGGAAGAACATTTTTCCAACGAATTAAAGAACATAGGAGTAGTTTTGTAAATAGAAAGACCAATTCCACATTTGCAAACCATCTTTTAGCAGAAGGACATGAGTTCAATCATGAGTACGAGGTGTTACATTTAGAAGAGAAGAGTTTGAAACTTAATCTTCTAGAATGTTTAGAAATCAATAGATTCAGGAATTCGGGTAATTTACTGAATGATCAATTAGAACTCAATAACTCTCCGTTACTGAATATATTTTTTCAAATGTGAAAATGGAACATAAGTGCAGGTAATTTAATTCGTTAGAAACTCAGGTAAAATATCAGCTACTTAAAATTCAGGTACTTCGTTTACAGATACTTTGATTTCAGGTACTCCATAAACTATATATATATATTTAGTATTGAATGTGTAGAATTAGTTGAAATACGCCAGATGAAGCCATTGTATGGCGAAACACGTGTTGCGTTTTTGTAAAACAATTTAGTGAAAATCTCACAATAAAGTGTTTTTGGAATACGACTTTTGAAATACTCAAATTTTTCGTGGTTTAGCCGACCTTTTAGATTTGAAGGTCTCGAAGATCTTAACAGCCTGTAAAATCCAGATGTGTGTTGAGTAAATGAAACATTTTTACTTTCTACCAGTTTACGATAATAACTGGAGTCTTATCCATGCCGCTGAAAATATTCAAGCGATAAACCGATACTGAATACCTGAGCTACAAATAACAAGTGTGTCATTTCACCTTCATTGTTGTTTTCGGGTAACTTGTTCACTTTTCCACACGTACACTAATTCTGTTATCGATATGAGTTGAGCATTGACCACATGACCAAAATGAAGAAAATATTCGATTGTTCAAAGTTTAATTTCAGGATATTTCAATATTTTGCGGCTATCGGAGGTAAGTTGAGTTTGCCACTCATATTTAGTCAATGGAATAGCAAAGATTTATGCTCCAGAGTGTGTCGGCGATGTTGTAGACCTAATCTTTGAAAAAAGTTTTGGAAATGACTGCTATATCAGTTTTGACCTTGCTTTGAATGCTTGACGACTGGTAATAATTTTGGAAATTTTCGTGGCTATAAAGTAACATTGAACTTGGAATAATTTTACAATGAAAAATATGAATCAAATGAAGAAGCCACCGATGGATTTTTTCGAAGATACATGATTGAAAATTCTGATCATGTTTTCCTGATGACTTCATTTTGGTTTTGAGAAACCATATAGAACCGTTTTCATGTAAAAAGAAACAAAGAGCACCACTACAAAACCCAAGATCGAACTGGAATGTAAATGACGACACATTTAGCTATTTTCTACAATCTAAAGACAATTCAATTCAGTGATATTTCTTAAGGTGGTTTCGCTGCTCCTATAACCAAAACTCATTGAACTCATTCGAATTTGGTTAACTCAATTCTTAGAAAGAGTTTTCCGTTTGATCAAGTCATCAACTTCAATCATTGGCATTGATCAAGTCCTAACCTCATAACAGCTACCCGCAAGCTCGCAATGCACAATCACTTTTGAGACGTCAACGAAATTCCTCTTCCTCTTTAATGTCATGCTGTTCTTGGAATTCTTTCTTGAACACTCCAGGAAAAAAGTTCTCTTAAAGATCCGGTATTTTTTGTAAACTTTTAAAGATTGAAAGCAGATTATGGAAAGTTTTGAATAGAGGACAAAATCCTCGCGATCGATGACGCGTGAAACGATACTGTATTAAATATTGCACCGAGATTCATTCTGAACTCATTGAAAACGTAACAATATTCTGGTTTTTTGTAATTATTATAGATAATTTGATAATATTGATACTTTCAAAATCGTTGTATCTTTTTATTATTTCCCGACATGTTTTCAGGGAATATGGGCATGATATCGCTGGGAATGCATCAAGGATGGTCATCCAGAGCCTTGCCGATCCTGACGAGCGGAAACTATTCCTTCGAAATAACTAATTCCGAAGGCTATTCTCTAGTATCGGTGATGCCTTTGGGTGCGCTACTGGGAGACGTCATCACTGCCGCAACCCTTCACAAGGTCGGCCACAATAGATTCGTCATCATCGCGACTTTACCCTTGTGCATCTCGTGGATATTGATGGCCTTTGCTCCATCAGCAGCCTTCATGTTCGTCGGAAGATTTCTGGCGGGAATAGCAGATGGCCTGTACTTCACGGCTTTCCCTCCATACTTGGCAGAAATCGCCGAGCCAGAGATCAGGGGCTTTTTGGGGTCGACATACTCGTTGTCCACGGTGCTGGGGATGCTGCTGATAAACACCTTTTTCTTTTTCGGGTCTTTGACCTCTGTGGCCGTTATAGGAGCTCTAATCAGCCTAATGACGTTGTTGTTTCTTCCGTTTCTGCCGGAAAGCCCCTACTTTTACTTGATGAATAAGGATGTTCTGGCCGCCAAGGCAAGTCTCCAGAAGTTTAACGGCAGAGGTGAAGTTGTCGAAGAGCTGTACCGAATCTCCAAGGGGATCATGGAGGAGGGGGACGACAAAGAAACTCTGGGAGATTTGTTCTGCAACAAGACTTACAGAAAGAGTTTCCTCATAGCGCTGATGGTGTGTCTGTCGCAGTTTTTGAGCGGTTCCATGGCCATTCAGTCGTACGCCACGAGCATATTCGAGGAAAGCAGAAGTTTTCTATCGGCAGATGTCGCCACCATCATCTATTTCGTCACGTTCTTCGTCTCGTCTTTGTTTTCCCAAATGGTCGTCGATTACAGTGGTAGAAGGCCTTTGATGCTGGTGTCTCTCGGTACGTATCGTGTACTTTTTTTGTTGGATCCAAAACAATCACCTTTTCCAATAACCAGAACCGAAACACTCTTTCACCAACCAAGTTAGCGTCTTGAGGAGATGAAGAAAACTAATTCCAAATTCTGAAACTGTTCCCAAATCATCTAGGAAACGTGAATTTAGAGAAATCTTCGTGAATCTTCGACTTTTTAAAATGAAGCAGATTCAGAATTTGCCTTTCCTTATGAACCAAGATACACTAACGGATCAAATAATTTTGTTGATAAAGTTGATCGTGAAAGTAGTCTTCAAAACGTCTCACTCCCTTCATCATTTGTTAGGCAGGATGTTGAAAGTTGAAAAGTCGGGAATATATGAAATGAGCTGTGAGGACTGTGAGAAAAATTATATAGGTCAGACTAAACGATGCATTGAAATTAGTTTCAAAGAACAAGCAGCACATTTCCAGTTTCTAAGACCAGAAAAACCTAGTATCGCTCAGAGAATAGCCATAGATCAATGAAAACTGTGTGAAATTGTCTGAAAATTGTCCGAATTGAATTTTTGATGCTTTTGAAAGTCTGGAAATAGCAAAGTGTGGTATGAGAACTGTGAATAGTGACAAAGATCCCGTTTGGAACAGTCCATACTATATCTTTTCATGAATTACTACGTTGAAATTAACGGAAACTCTCATTAGAAGATTTACCACAAATTCCTACCCGAAATCAGTGATATGAAGTGAGATATAAAAGAGGTCAGTTTAACAGTAAGCATTTCATTGCTATTTAGGTACCATTTGAAAAATTGTAGCCTCGTGGGGGCTTATTCCCTCTTTTTTCCTATGTCTTCATATCATCCAAATTTACTTTACGTTGTGGACAAGACAAAGTCGTAGTGTAACGGAAGAAACGAATAATTTGTCTTGTAATGTATGCAAAAAAAAGTGTTCATAAGACAGGTGTCTTGTCCCCAATCTTCGAAATACACCTTCGAGAATGATGATGTTCCATGTAAGTGACATTTTTATCAATACTTTTTCATCACGTTGTGCAGGGTTTCAATTCTATAACGAATGTATCTCAAGAAGCTTCTGTGTGTTTGACATATATTCATTGGGAATTTTCATTGTAGTCATTTTCTTTCTTCCTTTCTTTGGACACTTAAACTGAAACTATTTCCTTTTCGATACACCAGTCTAGAAAGTTTTCAATGTTCACAGGTATGGTTGCCTTGATGGTGTTTCTTGAAGGGACATATCTCTACATCAAAGCCGCTACAAACATAGATACTTCAGGATTCGACTTCGTACAGTTGTTTTCCATAGTCGTATACACGGTGNATAAACAGGATATTTCTTCATAAACATTTGTTATAGCTTGACCACGATCGCAGTTCTGCAATTTTTTGGCTGGGCGAAAGACTCTTTCGGAATATTCATCTCTTTATACTGTTTTGGTTGTATTTGTATCGTCGCTTTCGTTTTGGTTTCCGTTTTTCTCCCGGAGACCAAGAAGAAGACTTTGGAAGAGATACAAGCGGAAGTACGAGGTGATGCTAGTGCCAAGTGAGTTCAAACTTGTTTACGAAACTAGAACTTATCTTACAATGAATACCTACTGATTAATTTTATGTTACAACTTCAGTTAGTTTGTACGACCTGTCGCTGATTGATGTTTCGTTTTAATTTCATAGAAACTCATTTATAGCTTTATTGTTGAGTTTTTATATACAGTGCGCTCCACTCGTCTTATTGTAAATAAAAATTCGTTCTAATTGACAAACTATTAGCTTATTGAGAGGTAAAAATAATAAAAATCAGTAAAGGATAACTTCAAGCTATTTGTTGAAATTAATATATAAAAAATCGTTGACTTCTTTCTTGGTTACCTTTCATCAAATCATTTCTATTATTTTCTCTTGAAGGATGTTCACATCATCATAGCGTTGCCTATGAATGTCATTCTTCGAATAACCTTATTACAGTACAGTCCTTTATCAAAGAACAAGACAATCAAATTTTGACACTCCATTCTGCTGGAAATACAAAAGTAACCTTTTAACTGATATTAGGATAACCGTATAGGTGAAAACTACAATAATAATGGAACCTCGTTTTATATTTTTTTCAATTTTCTGGTGGTAGTTCAGATATAACTACTTTTGATGAATTAACTCACACTGAGATGAGAATATATTTACCTCAAAGAACTCAAAAGACTAGAGACCCACGGCGAGTTGAAAAGGTGAATCTACATATTGAAAAAACATATCAGCGTAAAAAAAAATCTCATGATATATGGTGGCGCCATCTAGTGATGACAAGTGTGACACTTTTTTTTTTATCGTGGCACTATCTAGTATTCAAAGACGAAAGTAAGTGCCGTTTTGATTGTGGCGCCATCTAGTATTTAAAAACAGAAATAAATTTTCAATCGTATAGCCATCTATCATTCAAAACGGAACTATTTTTCGACGGTTACGCCATCTATATTTGGTTTTTTAAGTTTTGTGTCATTGTTTTTCGATTGTTGCGCCAATGGATTATTGAAAAAAAACGACACTTCATTTTAGATCCATCTGCCACCTAATGCTCGATATTTTTAATTTTTTAAGGTTTTCAACTATTTTGAAAACTACATTTTTTCTGAAATCCTCTCTACAAAGTATGGCGGGTAGAGATAATGAAAAGATTAAATANCTGATGATGAATGTAATAAATTTTTGATCGTGGCACTATCTAGTACTCAAAGATGAAAGTAAATTTTTTCCATGTCATGGCGCCATCTAGTATTGAAAGACGAAGTCAAGAGGGGGTTTTTTATTGTGGCGCCATCTAGTATTCGAAGATAAAAATAAATTTCCGATCGTATTGCCATCTATCACTCATAAATGGAACTATTTTTCGACGGCAGCGCCATCTAGTATTCAAAGACGAAAGTAAAGCCATTTCATGTCGTGGTGCCATCTAGTATTGGAAGACAAAAGTAAGTGGGGTTTTCATTGTGGCGCCATCTAGTATTCAAAGACAAAAATAAATTCCGATCGTATTGCCATCTATCACTCAAAAATGGAACTATTTTTCAATGGTAACGCCATCTCTAGTAAGTTTTTTGAAGTTTTGTGTCATTATTTTCCGATTGTTGCGTCATCTGTTATTGAAAAGACGACACTCCATTTCAAATTCTGCTGCCACCTAATGCTCGATATTTTTTATTTTTTAAGGTAGTTCCGGCTGTTTTGAAAACTACTATTTTTCTGAAATCCTCTACGAAGTATGGAGGGTGGAGATTCTAAGAAGATTCAATAATTTCGAGACTAGCGCTTTGTATAACTTGTTGTTTTACAGGAAAGACTGTTAGACAACTTTCAAATTAACTCAAAAGATGATAAATGATTTTTTATTTTCAATAATGACAAAGTTGAAGTTTGCTTCACTTAAAATTGTTAGGTGTAGGAGATTTACAAGCAAATGTCTATCAAATATATATATTTACATCAATCAGCAACATATGTTTCACTACAATTAAGTACTAACTCTATAATAAAAAGTCATTGAAATATTGCATCTTACCCTAATTCACATTAGTTTTTCTCTACAGGAGAAAATTCCATAATGAATTTTTGATAAAAGCATGAACAATTTATGAGGTTGTCATGTTATTGATCTATGGTAAATATTATTTTCTATTTATTCTTGTTGCATCATCACAAAATTGGGACCTGGAAAAACTTATAGTTAGTTGCAGAGATTCTTATTTTTCAATGGGTTAAAATTTCCACAAAAAAAACAATTTATGAAGAATACATGTCTAGGTTGATGCAAAAACCAAGAATGTATGCATAGTTCTCAATTTTCCTCAGTAAACCAATAATCTCATGCTTGAAGGCTGGTTAGATATCCTAGCTGCATCTGTTTCATAAGTATATCGCTCTCGTTCATATTTTCTCCATCATTGTCTGCATTCTTTGACTTCTCTCTGTCCCACTGGTAGAGTTGGTCGAAAGTTGCTTTTGACGTACCCTTTGAATTCGTCGCAGGGGCAGCTGTCTTCTTTGCAGTAAGATTTCAAGTTCCTGAAGGCTGTCAGCTGTAACATGTAATCGTTTTAGATAACAGTTTTATCGATTAGAATTTCTTCGTACAATCACAAGGTAATGGAAAATGAAACTGTAGTATATCATTCATTGCCCAGTTTATTTTGTGCTGATTATTTTCATGTTAATATTTATGTAAGCCCTGCATTGAGTGAGAAATGAGTAAATTACATCGTCAATATTTTTAGACGTCTATACTCATTAATTTTACTGGTGACCGGGACGAAAAATATTTAAAAAATTAAAAATAGAACAAGAAAATCACCTGTTCGTTGGAGACTTCGATCGGCTCCTTGAAAACGATCCAAACGACACATTCAGAACAAGGCGGCGTGGTTAAAGATCCTTGGTAAGTGTAGTATCCACTATTCTCTGGAAGAAGCAAGGCCGGATTCAGCGGACCGAATATTTTGGTACTTTCGCCTTTGAATTCGATTTTTCCCAATTGTGCGACGACCTTCTCTATCTCGTCGTGCTTCTTTCCTGGCTGTGAAAATTTTCAATAAGTAAATCATACTGAGTGTATCTACTGAAAACTCTTTTCCCAAGATTGCATCATACCTTGATGATGTTAACTTGATTACCGAAATGCACGTCGAGATTAAGGATTTTTGTTTGTGTAGGTCATATTGACTTATGCATACTGTGGAATTTTCAGGTTGATCCGTTGAATAGTTTGCCAGAAACGGCTAATTAACGCTCATCATGAAAAGCCCTGTATAGAATTCACAATAGAACTTCAGAACAATAATTCGATAAACGTGTTGGACCTGACCATCACAAAAATTAACAACAAACATGATTTAGCAATCTACCATTAACCAGCCCAAACAAACACAACTATCAACAACCATTCTGAGCACTCTTTCCAACATAAACTAGCAGTATGCAGTATGATTCACATACTCGTTGAAGACACATCTGTCAAATTAGTTTCCATTTGAATATTACTGGGGTTTTTTCCCAACAGCGTTATTTCAACACTTCGACACGTGTTTCGATCACCAAGTGATCATCTCCAAGAGGAAGATCAAACCAGTTTGAAGATGATCACAGAAGTTAATATTGGAAAGACATCGAAAAATATCAAAACCACAATCTCCGAACACATAAGAAGTTTTGAATTGAAGAAAACCAATTCAACCTTTACATGCCATCTGTTGGAAAACAATCGAAACTTCGACACAAATTACGATGTACAATTACAATAATATCACGACTTTTCCTCAATACTACATCAGAGTTGCTAATCATGAAACGCTTGAAACATGTTCAACTATTTCTTCGTGAATATTGAAAATTAATAGGTCCGTCTGCAACCCTATTTATTGTAAATTCCTCGTATCTTTATAAAAGTTTCTTGGTGATAATAAACCTGTTCTGAGGGATGTCGCTTGCCGATATCTCGCGCCCAAGGGCTATTGTCTATAAACACAGATAAACAAATGTTTCGTTTCATGTTTCAGAAATTTGGGGAAGTATTGAACGTGAACTCACTTTCAAGAAAACGCCTAAAACACATAATCCGTCAGGATGCTGGGCAGCTTCTCCGAATAACTTATTAAATATAATGTAATTGTTAATAACGCATTCAACAATAATTGATAAACTTTATACGGCGTGTTTTTGACCGGGGCTACCGGTTGACCTTTAATAATGGTCTAACCGCGGGCTCTTTGCCCTTTATCTTAAAAGCGATTCAACGTATGAGGGAATAAAATCCTCTACAATATTGATATCCAATACAAATAGCGTAAAACCCATAGGAAACGGGATATTTGCAAAAAATGTGCAAAAATTGGACTTTTGTGACATTTGACCATATATTTTAATTTTGCGTACCATATGTAGGTTCTGAAACAACTTTAAGGGTGTCAAAATACAAGTTTTTACGAGTTTATAGCTGAGTATTTCAAATTCCGAGGTGAACTTACTAAGATGACTGGACTATTACGAAGATGCAAGCTATGGGATCGATAGAACATTTCTCACTGCGAGACATCTATAGTTAATACCAGGGCCTATGAAAAAAGCATTCGCAATCCAAAAAAAAAAACACCACTACGGCGAGTCAAAACATCGCTATCTGGTGATGGATCAGTAATGCTTCATTTTTGAACTCTTGTTTGATCTAGTTGCCTCGTTCATCTTTGATATCCGATAACTGAGTTCTCCGTCAATCCCATAGATGGCGTTTTCGTAGAAGTATATCTCACCACTTTTTCTTAAACAAATATATGTTTCAAGTGTCAAAGACCAATGTTTTATAACATTTACCTGAGCCGTGTCCATGTACGTGAACTTTCCAACCATATCCAGGATTGCTAACGTCGTCTGTATTTTCTGGAACGTATTTCCATTCCAACTTCTTATTGGCGTTGAGCGTCTTCAGGTCGACGGGATTGATGTCGATGGGACTCTGTTTCTGACCAGCAGCTTCTGGGTAGCATTGAGGCCATGTGTTTGGCCCTAAAAATAAACATTTTCAATTAATTTTTCAGTTCAACGGAATATTTGTCAACCATAAACAGAATATATTTTTTATCATGGGTTCAAAAAGTACGATTGCAGAAATGGAACTATTTTCCATTTCCATAACTATTTGGAATTTGATTTTTGAAAAGTAGAATGAGTCTTCATGGTCAGGGTTCGAAACTATTGTTCTAATTCGTTAATGATTTCGAACTACTTATTATCTATTACAATGATATTAAAGCTTTATTCTGTGATAGTTTATGAATAATTTTTCAGTAAATTCTTCTTCAGCATGGGTTTAATGCTAGACAATATTTTTTTTAACTTGTCTCCAAAGGTGAGTGTGTTCTATTAAAAAAAAACACCCATTATCGATACTGATTCCATGTGAGAGACCAATTTGTGGATATATTATGTTGGTAGATGCGTGACGATTCTACAAACATCTTATGTAATTTTGATCTACATAATTCATCTCTATAAAGCTCTGCCTTTCTTTTCGCCTACACTCTCCTAGTGAATTTGTAAACATATATTTTATTCATGACAAAACCGAAACAAAACATTTCTAGATGTTACATCACTTCAATCCATAGTTCTTTCAGTGAATTAAATGTGTTTTATGATCGTCAAAATATTAAGCAGACACAAATACGGTCTGTTTTACCTTTCCAAAGGCAGTTATTTAATTTATTTGCAATGTCTAAGTTTGAATCGAGTTCGTTTATATTTAAATTGTTCGTCATAGTTTTGTCTCTCGTAGAACAAGTTAAGTGTTTTACGTAGAAGTCGATTTTGTCGTGCTACAATAATACTGAAAATTGCTTTATTGAATAACTATAAACAGAATATTTCTCAATTGTCTCTTGAGTTTGAATTGAAATGAGATTAGACAGATTTTTTATTCTTAGAAATCCATTGAGAGAATTGCTCTTAGCGACATTTGTTGACATGATAGTATATGAACTAATGGTTCAGAACTATGTCTGTTTGTAATTTTTGATTATATTATCTTAGCAGTTATTTTTGGAAATATTTGTGACCCAAGATTGAGGGGGAACAGCTAACTTGTTGATTACAAGGTTTATTGCTGTTGGAAAACGAAAAACAAAATAATTTTGAGACATTCAGATAAAAAAAATATTATGGCGATTATGATTCTTTGGTGGGATGTTCTTTGTAATTTTCTCATTTAAAGACGTCACCAGCGCGAGTACTACTAGAGTAATTTTTAAATTATATTTATTTTTTATTGAATTTTGAACTATTTGACAAATGGATGATATCTCACATTTTAACTTGTTTAATAACATAAATATATATTTCCTGTTTCTATAAATATACTGAATTGGCACGAGTACAAGTTATTGATTTTGCTCTAAATTGAAATCCAAAAATACCAAATGTACGTAATCAATTTACCTTGTGCTTTTCATAGTTTTTAGCGAAATCCTGAACTTCAATACATTTCTCAGCTCTATTGAAACCTACTTGTCACATGAATGGATTCCTTAAGAAATTACTTTTTTAATAATGTGTCACAACTAGTATTTCCCTATTTGAATTCTAAGGGTACTGGTCATTCAGACTAGAGGCGAGGGAAGAGATAGACAGTTGAGATTATCATAAACAAATTTCCCTTTGGAATTGAAATTCGACCTGTTTCTACATTTTTGCTTGAAGATATTCGATCTGTTCCGTTTTCGGTGCCACACACTGTATAATCCTGAGAGAGTCACTGTATATAGTTTAATAACATCGAATGTTATAAACGTAATCAAGAGAGACAATTAAGAATGTGCTGCACGCAACGAAATTTTCATTTCCTCATTCAGATAATTGAGGATGGATCAATCAACACTGTTGTGAACATCGATCTCTCTTGTAGTATCATTTTATAGTTTTCACTTTCAAATTGATGGAAAATTGATAAACTATTTGAGAATGAAAAATATTCTGGAAGAAGTTCAAAGTGCAACTTCTTTACAATGAAACAATTGCTATTAATGTTGAATTTGACTCACCATTCGTTGGTCCGTATCCCCAATCCAAAGCCATTCTGTAAAAAAAATATTAGGTACTTCGTGATTTTGAAGGTAAAAATTATATAGAATCTCTAATGACCCCTGACGTTGAAGGTTGAAATGATTGTTTCCGTAGACATTTTCAATTTAATATCTAGTTTTTCCAATTAAAATGTCTCATTTTCTTCAGTTGTTTTCGGGATTAGTATTTTTTTTAATTCCACAATAGAGCTTAATCTTTTCATTGAATTATGAATATCACGCCTGAAGAAACTATTATGTAGCGAAACATGTGTTGAGTGTTCCTTGAATACACTCAAAAAAGTGTAATACATCTAGGAATAAAGATGTTTGTGTTTCTGTTTTTCAATCATTGAACAAAATATGTTGGAAACTTCCAAAAAAAGGAAGAACAAAACTACTGGTGATTCAATAAAAACTATGGAGATATATACAACATAAACAGAAGTTTATAGAATGAAATTTTCTATTTGGAAAAATCGTATTTCAGTAGCTTCGGCATATCTAATGCTCTAATCAGAATTCAAGCATATCTCTTGCGCTTTCGCCCTTGAATTTTAATGGATCGACACGTGATTATTACTCAACAATGGCTTCAAACCGTAAACATTCTAAGTTTAATGGCTCACTTGTGACTGGTGATTTTCCGGTGCTTTTTGCTTATTAGTCGCAAAAAATTTTACTGCCAATCGTTGAAAGGTGGCATGGAACAAGGTTTCTCATTTGACCAAACAAATAATTGCTTTATTGAACTGTGCTCGAAAATAAATTGATTCAACTACGGTGTGACTTATTCAATACACTTTTAAGCGATTTTAGTTATTTTTAGTTGACAATAATGCCTACCCGTTATGTAAATTATGTAAGCTAGCTTTTCCCTATAATGGTAAACTTATTATTATCATCAGTCTTGTTACTTTGGAATTTCTTATCTATTCAAACTCACCTAGGAAGTAAAATATACAGAATATCAAAATTTCACTTATATTTTTTAAATCAGCATTTTTATATTACTGAACTAATAACGATTCCCCTTGAATACATGTAAATTAGCTAGTTATATTAATACGCAACGGAATCTTCAAAGAAACTGATGTCAGTAGCAATACATAAACAGAAACATGTGTTGATGCTCGGCAGACTATACTGAGTCAAGTAATAACGAATAAAAACAAAAACGGTATTAATACCAACAATTAGGCCTTCTTCCTGTGTCGATACAGTTTTAATGAAGAGTCGAGGAATACGAGGGTGATACCAAATATATCTAGTCGTAAGAAAAATATTTATTCTTTATTGAACACTACGAGATTTGCAAATAAAATAATACATAAGCAAATAGAGTGCTCGCTCGGCTTTATTGTCTCAAACGCTATTCAGTGGACCGCGAATTTCATCCAGATTTTGAAGCACATTTCATATCCTGGTTTCCAATGCACCGCATCATTTTCATTATCCCACAACTACTATATCTAGAAGTGTAAATAATGTTCACAGTGTAGATATATCTTTTCTAACTTTCAACCAATTCAAAAGAAAGATTGTTCGTTTCATTCAAAATTGATCTTACTATATGCATAATTATTCATAATTCTAATTGTATACACCTGTAAATGGGCCTGCTGGATGTTATGAATAAATAAATAAATGAATAAGCTCCGTTCACGACGACGGCTCTATTATAGAGTACAAAAATGACCAAAGGAAATTCTGTGTCATGCTTTTATAGTCATTTGAATCATTATGACTATTATCACCTGACAAATTTCTACATGATAAATTCATTGCTTTCCTGATTTCTATCTATTTAGGTGTGCTGAAAACTAAAAAAAAAATCAAAACATTTCATAACGTCAAGTGATTTTGCAAATGCCAAACGGTATAATTAAAAAGGTGTTTCTTGGACTAATTTGTAGTTATAAATTAATAGGTACAATTTCATATCATACCATGATGTTTTTCCTGCAACTATTCCCAACTTCTTGGTGATGACCCTAATAGCGTAGTAGCCAGATGCAAGTTTTTTGTTGAGATATTTTACGTGGTCATCAAACTTCAGGGTATTATCAATCCATAATCCCAAGAATTGGGTGCGCATCTTATTTTCAATGACATGGTTCTGGAGGCTTAGGTTTCCAGAAACCAATTCAAGCGAAGTTATGTTAGTTTCATATCATTCCTATCTAAATAAAGAACGTCTGTGGTCTGTGCCCTAGTTTGCCTCCAAAAAGAAGCATCTATGGATACTCTTTTTCACTTGAGAACTCATTTCATCTACTTTCGAGATCTATCTTAATAACCAATTTCTTCAATGCAAACTAAATTCGCAGGATGGTGAATGTGAATGCTGTCACAGGATGGTTTGCAAAAGTTGAATTGGTCTTCCCTTTCGAAAAACTTTAGCACGAGAAGAATATATCCAGAATAATGAAATCTAAAATAATGAAAACCTTCTTATGATGACATAACCAGGACAAAGAACGTAGAGTTTACTGAATTTTCCTGCAGCTAGTATATGATTGTTTGTCAGTTACTTAATTAAACTAGTGAATGATCAACATCCGAAAGTCTTAAATCAAAGAAGTTATTTTCAATTCATACCTATAATGAAACTAAAAAAAAAAGAAAAACAGTTTATTTACCTATTACTTGTTGAGTAGTTTCATCAACCACCGAATGGCAAAAAATATTTCAGTCGAAATCGAACAGATAGCTGTTGAATCAAACCGTAATTGAAACAAAAGCCCAGCTGAAAATAGCAGAGTGAAACAACAAGCCTAAAATAAGCTCTTAACATTCCAGTCGCACTGAAACAAAAATAAAAATATATGCAGTCAACGACTTCGTTGAGGAGAACGAATATCTTTTCATTCGAAACTTACGAAACGAATTTGTCGTAGCTTGTTAGCAACTTGACAGTAAACGAATAAGCAAATAGTTGGGTCTTGTGATATCCCGGAATCGGGAATGATGTTCTTTGCTCTTATAAGTGGTGGAGTTGACACGAGATTTGGGTAAAAGGAAAATTAGAAATTATAGAGACTATTTGTGAATTTGTAAAGCCTATGAGGCTTTACAAAATTTGGAGCTTGCAATAAAATATAACGATACAAAAATTCTCAGTATTGATCAACAACATGGCTTCACCACAGAAAAATTGACTGCTATCAATTCATTATTCAAGGAAAACTGCATCATCAGTTGTATGGGAAACAAGCTGCAAGTTGAATATGTGTATACCGATTTCTCCGAAGTCTTCAACAAAGTTAATCATGACTCACTTATCTTCAAGCTCAAATCAGTGGATATAGAAGAAAATGTCTTTCATTGGATACAGAGCTGACTTTGCAAAAGAGATCAAGTATGCCAAACATGACAAGTCAATACCTCGACTTCAAGAGGAAGATTGAACTGAAGATGATCACTTGGTGATCGAAACACGTGTCGAGGTGTTATTTCAAATAAAATCAAAGGAAACTATGAAGCACCATGAATCTTTTATTCGAAAATGTCCTTCCAAGTATCATCATACAGGTTGATTCACGGTGGATGGCACATTAGACGTTTCTGGTGAACCAGACAACGGATCACTTTAACAACTTCACCCTTTCAAGGCAAGTTTCGAATATAAACTGAAGCTTTATATTTAATGAATAAACACCTCAGGAACCTCCGCCTATGATTTTACGAGTTTTACGACCGTTTTATGACTTGGGCCCTCATTTTGTGCTATCGACAAATTATGAACGGACTATAGTAATATTCATTACTACACAGTGAATTAAAAGAATAGTGTAGTGTCAATTTGTTACAGTTAAATCAAAATAAATGTTAGAAAATCACCTTCTTGAAGACCGGTAGTTCAATAATTTATTTCAAATAAAATCAAAGGAAACTATGAAGAACTATGAATCTTTTATTCGAAAATGTCCTTCCAAGTACCATCATATAATGGAAAAATCATCTCCAGCCCGTAAATTGTTGGGCTTCAATTTCGTTCTGTTAGAGACGTAAGTGTTGAGCCATAGTGAGACAAACTATACTATGTGGTCGTCTCATTTTAATATTGATGTTGATTTTTAGAGAGACGTTGACAGAATATTTTGAATAAGGGTTCAATATTTAAACATTCTGAGCACATTAGACATGAATAATTTATCTCATAAATGACTAGAAACAGATTTCATGGCTAAGTAAATTAATAGCTTAGAAACAGTCAAGTTTCATGCATTTTCTATGAATTCTAGTAGAAACATAAATAGTGATATTTTCAAAATGCCTATTTGGGAAACCAATTATGCTCAAAAACGGGTAATTTCTAATATTTTAAAATCAGCAGATCATCATTACTCTGGCCTCTAAAAGAAGCTATTGAAAATATATGATGTATTCAATTCTGAGAGATTATATACATATGTAAAATTATCTGTAACGGATATGTCCGTTGAAATGGATGAATAAAAAGATTTCAAATTCAAACACCCAAAAAAATTATATCTAAGATGGCTTCAACGAAATTTACCTATTTATTTCATGTGAAATTTCGATGGCGTGTGGTCGAAATAACTGTAAAATATTAATAATAGACTGCCATCAAAGTAACTCCAGAAATAAAATAATGAATAGCAGAACCAATGAGTTGGAGAATTCATATTTAATTTTGTAATGGTTTATTTTCGCCTAAACCTTGATAAACAGTGTTGTTTCGAAATTATATTCTCACAATAATCGCAGTAGACTTCACTAATATATTTCTGTCGTAAACGGGATTTAAAATACGTAATTATAATATAAATCACGCGTCTTAATTGGAGCCGATAAATAATTTCTGTGATTATTGTCCTCATTATAAATGGAACCGGTCGTAAACGCACATAACATTTTTTTCCATAGTACAAATAGAAATGATTGGGAAAAAAGGTTACGAAAAATTACGTTCAACACTGTTTTAGAATTTATCATTCAAAAAAATATTTGGTTCTGTTGTTGATGTTTACAACGTCATTGATTTTATTACAAACAAACTTTTTTGAATAATGAATTCTAATTATTCATTCATTCAACATGGTTCTTGACCTGTGAAATTAGAAAATAAGGTCGACAATACACAATATGTTACTTATTTTTTGTCGGAATTACCGAAGAAACATTTACAATTTGTTCGTTTTCCATAAGTTCAGTTAATATGACACACCCCCAAAACTACATTCGTTTCTTCTTTCGAAGGTCAACATACAACCCCTGCATTCGATTTAAAAAAAAATCGGGAAACGGTTTCACGTCGGACCTGGAAAAATATTCAAAAGAAGGGATATTTCAGTCTCTATAGACTTTTCATGCAGTAAAATTATTATAGTTACTGATAATACCATAAATAGGAATTTTAATTGTTGTTCGATTCTTTGGTGTACTGCGATATTCCAAAAACCGCAGCAGAAATTGAAAGTAATGATAATTCAGATAACTTGAAACCACGAAAACGCAGAAAACTCACGTGTTACTGTTACGGATCGACTTCATAATCAATTCACAAAAAAAGTATGAGTGTGATATGTTGTAATTATTGTCAGGTTCTCAGTTGTTTTTGAAAAGTGTGGGTGATCAGATTTTCAACCCCATAGTGATAGAACTAGGTCTATTCTGGATGAGCTGAATGACTTTGTTTCAGTTATAAGGGCTGCATACCGTATGAATATGTTCTTGGTTGATTTTTCATATCCGTATAATTATATTTTAATTCAATGCGTATCAAGATAATTGAATTTTCATTTCTGTGCTGAAAGAAAATGTTTAACTTTATTTTTCTTTAGATTTTAAAGAGATTATGGTCAGTTGATAAGGTGCAGGTATCCGTATGTGACTATAAGTAAGAGATTGTTACGTAAACTTCAGCTTGAGCTATTGATAAGTGATTGTAAAAATAATTGGTTGAAATATTTCGATGACTTTTACTTGAAAGAATTTCCAAAAAGACTCATTCGGAATAAATAAGTTTCGATTTCAAGTAATGAAAATGATAATAATCATTTTCATTTCACTTTCGAATTCCACATTGGTTGTTTTTCTGGAAAGAGAAAGTTATTCTGATATCAGGAGTATTTTATCAAAACAGGGTGAGTCAGGCTAGTTTTCTAAGATACACTATTTCTGGTTATTTATACAAAAGTGAACTTTTTTATATGATATTAATAACATCATTTGAATATTCATATATGGTAAATAATAAAGTTCTTGTTATTTGAATTCTGAACTACAGAATATCTGATTATTTATAGATTCTTTTTGTTAATGAAAGATTTCATTGGTTTTCGGCTGGAAATAAATTGTGAACTCAAATAGTTGAGTTCAGAACATTTCTACTAGAACTCGTTTAACATTTTATTTTGAGATCATTGCTTAGCAAAAACCTTGTTAAAGTTCAGAAAATTGTTGTGAAAATCGCTTCAATGTGAATTAGTGATCGCGGCGTCTTTTATTTTCCAGATTATTTTTAAAATTCTCAAAAATTGTCAACATGTTTGCCGGTTTTGTGGTGAATAAAAGCATTGTTTTAAATTTTCTTCTCGAAAAGAAAAGATAGTATTTCAAACAAATCACACACGATTGAAGCCTTACCTTTTTGGAAACCGTAAAACCAAAAATGAAAACGGAAAAAGCACGTAACAGGTGTCGGGACACTTTGAAAACCGTCGTCGTCTCGTCGCGAGCAATAAGAAGCGGGCAATAATCCTCTGGATCAGCGGCTCGAAAGTGTGTTGTGTTACCGAACTGACCGAATAATTCCCCCCCTCCTGCCGCACGTCTCTCCTGGTCTTCGCCCATGGAGAGGTTGCCGAGATTGGTAAACACGCAGGATGGACGAGATACGAGGGCTCATCGATATTTTGCCTTGCAGTCTCCTCGACCGTATTCTCGACAGAAATCCATCCGTAAACTATCACTTTTCTACAATCACTACGTATGTAGTATTAAAATATATTTTCTTTCAATCTACTGTTTTTTTATACAAATTCTATTAATGAAGAAGATGACTTGGCAACACTGTACTTTAGAAAAACAATACAGTGTGTAACAACGAAAACTTAACAGAAACCTTTTTGAATATAAAGAGTAGGATTTTTTAAAAAAGCTCAGAAATGTCGATTACTAATTAAGAGGGGACTCCTTTCAGACTAATCAGATTTTTTGTAGTACGCACCCCCTCAGAGGGGTGCGTCCGACGACCCTTATTTAGATAGGGAAAGTAGGTC